GATCTATAGGTTCCATGACACATGCTCCGCCGACGATTGCTCCGCCGACATTTACTCCGCAAAACGCGACAATTGCTCCGCGACATTTGCTCCGCGACATTTGCTCCGACGTCAAATGCTCCGCCGACAGTTGCTCCGCCGACAGTTGCTCCGCCGACAGTTGCTCCGCCGACAATTGCTCCGCCGACAGATGCTCCGCCGACAATTGCTCCGCCGACAATTGCTCCGCCGACAATTGCTCCGCCGTCAATTGCTCCGCAAAACGCGACAATTGCTCCGCCGACATTTGCTCCGCCGACATTTGCTCCGCCTGAAGCGACACTTGCTCCGCCGACATTTGCTCCGCCGACATTTGCTCCGCCGTCAATTGCTCCGCCGACAATTGCTCCGCCTGAAGCGACAATTGCTCCGGTGACATATGCTCCGCCGACAATTGCTCCGACGACATTTGCTCCGCATGAAGCGACACTTGCTCCGGTGACATTTGCTCCGACGACATTTGCTCCGCCCAAAAAGTGTCCCATTAAATACAAATGCTACTAGTACTACGACAAATGCTTCGCCGACAATATTTTTTTTCACGGGTTGTTTTTGTTTCTTTCTTTTTTTCTTCATTTTTTGAATGCATTTCATGACATTATGTAAATGAAATGAAATGAATGAATGTTGATAATGTGGGAGGAAAAAGCAGTTGCCTAAAAGTCATTTCGAATATACTGAAATAACTTTCCATCTATCACTGTACGTCCCACATAATGTACACTAAACACTCATTACATGTCATGGGAAGTTTTTTTTTTTTAAAGTAGAGCAGCAAGCCACATTCCCCAATACGCGCATACCTCCTAGTTAATTTCAAACAGCTCATCAATATGTAAGACCTGAAATTACCTCAATGAAAGAAGACTAATAACATGAGAGGAAAGAAAAGAGCAAAAAAGACAACCGTTTTTTGCTATTCCCCATAATGTTAGATTAAAAAAAATAAAAAAATAAAATTATAGCTCCTTACGCAAGTTCTCCGACGAAAGATAATTACTCCGCTCAAAATCTGTTTCATGTATTACTCATTAGCTGATCCAAAGCTCAAGGCTATCTCTCTCTCTCTCTCTCTTTCTCTCTCTCCCATGCTCCTCCTTTTCCTGTTTACACCGTTTTCTTGTCTTCTTTGCTCTTTTCTTTCCTCTCATGCTATTAGTCTTCTTTCATTTCCATCACTTCTTCTCAGCTCCCCCTCTCGAGTTCTATTTCTCTCGTGAAATTGAAACGTAAAGTAATACAATCATGTAGTACATTCTTGTTTAGAATAATATTTTCAATAATATCCAGTCCATTTTCTAAAGGTTTCTTTCCTTTAGTTAAGTGTATGTAGCTTTAATATATATATGTTAGTGTGCAAAACACTCCGTTTCATTCGAGTACTTTGTTTTCACTAAATAATTTAAGGGACTCACGAAGCCACCGGAAGAAGAGCAATTGGCTTATCATGAAGAACTAACATCAAACTGCAACAAAATGATTTGTATAAATGTGAATAAGCAGAAAGGCTGCCATCTCATTTTCCCGTCTGAATGGGTTCTCTTCCTTACGTATATAAGTGCCCTTATTTTCTAAACTTTTTTTTTATATTTGTGTGTTTATTAAATTTTCAATCATATAAAAATTACATATTTACAAGTCATTGGTAATAATTAGACAAACAAAAAAAACAATATGTATAAGAACAACTAACAATAATGAAAGAACAAGAAAGTTATAAAAAAAAAACATTATAGTAAACAAAAATACACTGTACACATATAAATCATAGTTTGAACTCCAGTGCATAAAGGGGAGTGAGGGGGCACAGGAATAAAAGTTAAATCAACATGAGTATCATAAGTCAAATCGCCATTTCTTAAAATGCGAAACAAGCTTGTTCCTTTTTTTCGCTGAGAAAATTTCAATATCTTTTTGTTTCTTTATAAAACTCTTAAAAAGATCAACACTTGGTAAATCCCCCTTACTTATTTTCTAAATTTCCATGATGACCTATTACATTGTATAATGCTTTACCTAGTAAGATGCATTGATCGAGGTAATTTCAGGTATTACATATTGATGAGCTACTTGAAATTAACTAGGAGGTATGCGCGTATTGGGGAATGTGGCTTGCTGCTCTACTTTTTTTAAAAAACTTCCCACGACATGTAATGAGTGTTTAGTATATATTATATGGGACGTACAGTGATAGATGGAAAGTTATTTCAGTATATTCGAAATGACTTTTAGGTAACTCCTTTTTCCTCCCACTTCATCAACATTCATTCATTTCATTTCATCTACATTATTACAAGAAATGCATTCAGAAAATGAAGAAGAAAAAAAGAAACGAAAAAAACAGGTGTAAAGAAAATATTGTCGGCGAAGCATTTGTCGTAGTACTAGTAGCATTTGTAGTTTATGGGACACTTTTTGGGCGGGGCAAATGTCGTCGGAGCAAATGTCGGCGGAGCAATTGTCGCTTCAGGCGGAGCAATTGTCGGCGGAGCAATTGTCGGCGGAGCAAATGTCGGTGGAGCAAATGTCGGCGGAGCAAATGTCGGCGGAGCAATTGTCGCTTCAGGCGGAGCAATTGTCGGCGGAGCAATTGTCGCTTCAGGCGGAGCAATTGTCGGCGGAGCAATTGTCGCTTCAGGCGGAGCAATTGTCGGCGGAGCAAATGTCGGCGGAGCAAGTGTCGCTTCAGGCGGAGCAAATGTCGGCGGAGCAAATGTCGGCGGAGCAATTGTCGCGTTTTGCGGAGCAATTGTCGGCGGAGCAATTGTCGGCGGAGCATCTGTCGGCGGAGCAATTGTCGGCGGAGCAACTGTCGGCGGAGCAACTGTCGGCGGAGCAACTGTCGGCGGAGCATTTGACGTCGGAGCAAATGTCGCGGAGCAAATGTCGCGGAGCAATTGTCGCGTTTTGCGGAGTAAATGTCGGCGGAGCAATCGTCGGCGGAGCATGTGTCGGGTTACCGATCTATAGCACTAGCGTCGGAGCAGGTATCCCACGCAGGAGCTCGCCATGCCGAAAACTGCAGTGCAGAAATTGGACTCTGGATTAGACATAGATATCGTGTGTGCGTTGCGGTGTCCAGCTGCATTGATTTAATGAGATACTTTTGAGCTTGCGACTCACACAAAAACGGGCTCTAAATCTGAAAAATACTTGAAATAAAGCTCATTTTATGGTACCAATATTTCTTACAGACACGCGTAAGATATTCGATTTTTCAGATTCGGGTAGCGGGAATGCCGATTACATCGATAAAATGTGATATTTTAGGATATATTTTCCATTGCAAATGTGGTTCTTCAGTGACTCTGGCATGGTCTGGTATGTGTGGGATATGTGATATGCTATTATGCGATGTATTAAAGGGATTTTACCATGCATCCAACAGACCGGCCAAAAACTTGTGATGGTCGATTACCCCCTCCTTTACTCTAAATGGTCGTGAAATAATCATTGATTAAAGGCCCACTGCACTACTTGTAGCTACTTGCGCCCTCTATATAACAAACAATGCCTAATCGGTGACCATTGGTCCCCCATGATCCTCTTTTTCTTATGTTAACTGAGAGCTGAGTTGATGAGCTAACCACCTGTCCAGGGACCTTGCAGGGCAGTCTAATCCCTCCTGTAAACTACGGCAGATAAGCTTTAAGAGAAGGGGTGGTAGGCAGGCAGGCGGTTTTCAGTTATTATATGAAAAGGATGAAAAATTTCTTGCTCGCTACGCTATAGCTTATGCTCGTAATACATGTACATCAGTGATTAAAAAGCGATGCTAGGCACGCAGATGCTTTTCAATATAAAATGGCAAGCCAAAGAATTTTGACCATTCGCTAAGCTCGCCATGGAATAAACAATAATTCTGAAATAATGCTTGCCCATTTGATTCAAAAGGGGCGTAATGTAGAAAGATTATATTTAAGATTATAACCTATGATTTTTACCTTCCTTGTTTGCCAAATAAAGAAATTAAAAACAAACAAAAACGTCCCCTTAAATATGTTTGTGCCCTCCCTTTCACGGGACAAGATGTCACAGTTACTTTATAGGTAAAAATATGCCTATAAATAATCAAAAGAGAAGTGTTAACAAAAATTGCTCACTTGCTACGCTAACTCGGGAATATAATTTTAAACATTCTAAACGTCAGACGAAGAAGGGCGGAAGGCAGGTAGATGCTATTCAATATAAAATAAGCTTAAAACCGCCCGCTCTCTAAAAATGAAATTGACATCGCCTCATGAATGTGCCCAACCCGTTCCGCAGCAAGAAAACTCTGTTTGATACTCATTATTGTTGAACATAATTCTTTGGTTTAAAACGCTCGCTCGCCGGTTTATGGTATACCATAAACATGCTCATTTAATTAAGGAGGGAAATTAAGCAGGAAGATACTATTCAATATTAATGATAAGTCTACATTAAAGCTCTCTTTCTCTCTCTCTCTCGCTATATACCATCGCTTACCGAAAGGGAATAAATATTACCTTAAATAATATTGTGCCCAAGAAGAAAAGAAAATTCACAATTTGTTGAAAGAAGGTCGACTCAAGGTTGAGAAAATGTAATATATTACTTAAAAGCTTCTGCACCTTACCCCCCCCCCCCCGAAAAAAAAGGATTGCGTCTTTCGCAAAGGTTTATCACTTTTTTCCATCAGTGTCTCCTGATCGGGGAATTAAAACTCGTCCCCCTTCTCAAAATGCACACTCTTGCCCTGAATAACAACAACAACAAAACAAATCACACAAAACAAAAACAACAACCCATAAAATAAATATTGTCGGAGGAGCAATTGTCGGCGGAGCAAATTGCGGCGGAGCAAATGTTGGCGAAGCAAATGTCGTCGGAGCATTTGTCACCGTTGTAATCGTCGCCGGAGCATGTGTCGGGTTACCAGACGACAGGGATATTTTGAATTTGACAGACCCTATGGTCGGCTTCTGTCTCTAAAGTGAGGAGCTGACCCTAACCAATTCCAAATACGAGGCTAACGAACGAAAGAGACAGAATCGTTGGTCTAACACAGTATTAGATCTAAAGCCAGTAATTGATCAAGATATGTTTAGAGTCCCGAGTTAAGCCTTTTTAGGGGACATGGAGACACCATGTTCACTCAGTATCATGAGTGATAAAGGTTTGAATTTCAATTTAGTAACCATTATTGCATGAACGTGCAATGCACGTAGACTGCATAGGGATGCGTGCAAGCTCTACATTATAGGAAGGGGTTTAATTAGCACACCAAAACGAGTGCACGATCAGATAGAACTTAGAAGTTGAGCATGCCACATTATTTACACTTGAACCTTGAGGCACGTCCTCTTGTCATATTCCTCCTATAGAGGGTAGTGAGAAATCTAAATGGACAATGACATGTCATGGATATATGTGTCTGATATTCCTAGTGATAGAGTCTTTATAATAAATTATAGGCCTAGACTGAGCCAGAGGATAATTTCGTTCTTGAAATTCTCAATCATGCTATCTAAAGAAGATGTAAAAGTACCATTCATCATTCGCACTTAAACAAAACACAGGTGGCCTGAGTGTTAAAAACTTCACTGTATTTCTATGTATGTCATATGTTTGAAAAGTATTATTGTAGATTTGTCTTGTTTAAACTTAATGTTTCTGGAGATGGAAGTAGTTTTCATAGCTGCCTACATGTCTCTGTCCCAGTTTTTTTTTGGTTTGCATTGCCTTTATAGAATGTTAGGCAAGTTTTGGGGGCTAAACAGTGGTTTGGGTAATAAAGTTAACTCGAAGTCACACAAGTCAAATTATCACTAAGTTGAATTTAAAATTTTGACCAAACTATGCAAAACGTGTTATTTCCACTTCCCAATAAGTCAAATTTTGCAATAGTCTAAATTTATTTTTGATGCTCCCAACAGATTTGACTTATGCGGAGTTACCTGATGAGTGATTCGCTAAGCTAAGACACCGCGGAAGGACGTGGGTTTAAGGTCTAAGAGGAGCACCAGCACTCCCAGGTTGCGAAAAAAAAGGGCTAGGATATCAACTTCAGGGGGATTTACTCCAGAAAGGTACTCAAAAATATTTTGATATCCACCTAGTTACTTTTTCAGAGCTACCAACCAACCCGTTTTTGCCGGAATTGCTCCTTTTTTTCCTCCAAATTACGGTATCACGTTTTTTCTTCATAAAATATGTTTTTTAATAAAAAAAATTTTTTAAATTATTATTTTTTTTTTTTAAATACCGCACGTCAAACAACAGGCCTAAAAGTGGTGATTGGATCACAAATTCAATAGAAAACTAATTTTCAAAACATACTTGAAGAGAAAAATATTATCAAAAAAAATGTCGATAATACCAAAATAACCACCAAAAAATTACCTGCTTGTATGGAAAAAAACACATGATAAACATTTCAGCTTTGGAAGTGTGTCACGCGTGGTTGTAAGTTTCATTTTTATGTATTCCTTTTTTTTGCTTGAAATTCCTTTTTTTTGCCATCATGATTCCTTTTTTTGGGTCGCACAAGGTTGGCAGCTCTGCTTTTTATGTAGGTAATACCAGAACTATCACTTTCCACATCAATATCTGTTGGACAAAGATATAAAGTTAACATACATTCAATATTGCTTGGTGTCAATTTTTTTTTCTTCTAGCCAACAAAATTAGTAAATAATTTAAAATGAATTAGAGTAAAACCATTAATTCTTTATTCTTATGACAAGTAATGACAATTGAAACATGATTATGTATCATGGTGTAACCTTTATGAATTGCCTATGACTAATTTCCCTAGACTTAAGCTATCCTCCACTCATTTTATGTCTGGTATTTTGGTGTAACTTTGGGATACGTTTATCTTAATTTTCCCCAGACTTAAGCTGTCTACTCCAGTAAAATCAACCGAGCCTGAAGAGATGACCTTTTGTCGATAGATCAGCCAGGAAGCTTGCCAAGGATCATTATCCTACCACTACTTTCACTTCTCCATCTACCTCGTTCTCCCATCAACCATCTTCAGCAGCGTCATCAACGCCGTCAACGAAAACTCAAAAGCCATGGCAACCAAAGACACGGTCAAGAGTGCAGAGTCCAAGAGAGCAAGGATGGCCTCGGAGTCAAGATCAGAAAAGCATAAAAAGGGTAAGAACTTGTGAACAAATTCTTCCTCCACCCTCCCCCAAAATATTACAATTGTTATTGTCATAAGGGTAAAAATACGCTAGCTGTACAGAATGCTTGAGTACAATTTTTGTTCATCTAATTGCCACTACTTTATGCATGAATATCACTCTTGATTGGATTTTCAAATATTTGTTTGAATAGTTTGGAGGGCTATTAAAACAGCTAAGATGATATTCAACTCTGGCCTAATAAATATGTGTAGATGCTCGATGAAAATGTGGTATCATGGATAGTTCATTCTTTGACGGTCAGATGTCTTTCGAGATTTAGCAGCTGTATGTGTGTCCTTTTCATTCTCCCATCTTTATTTGTTTGTAATTGTTTCCTTTATTTCTTTACACCCTTTTACAGAAATTGCTGTCCATTGTAGAGGAGACACTTGCAGCCGAGGGGACTGATTCCAGTCATGTTTGCTTCAATTGTTACAAGACTCTACACCCAAACCAAGAAATTTGTGAAGGTAAGCTATACAAGATAAGACACTGGGTGGGATGCTGATACCATGAATATGCATCTATTAAAGATAAAAAGATAATGATGAGGCTTTTAAGATTGTGTAAAAAATGTCAGTCATGCAGAAACTTTCATTGGTTGGGGGTAATTATAACATGTGTTTAAAGCTTTTAACAAGGATAATAATAAGTGAGCAATGAATAAACCTATAGCAAAAAATCCTTCATTTGAAGGTTAGTCTCTTGCATAGGAGTTATAGATGTTCATATATCCCCTGCTTGCTAGTCCCTTCTGTAGGAATTCATCAATTAATGTCAATCAATTCACCATTTTCTTTTCCCAGGATCTGAAGTTATCAAAGGAAGATCGCTGAGGCCAACGCTGACTTATCATCTCCTTTGAGCATGCAGATAGAGCAGCAACAAATTAGTGTTTGATGTCGTACTCCAAGATCAAGTAAAGCAAAACGGGTATTTGCTATGTAATGCAGAGAGTAAAGAAGCTACAAGACACTGGTTTCTTCATGAGATGTTTGAATCTTTTAGACTCTCTGTAAAACCTTTTGCGCAGAGTGAATATGCAGTTGGGTTAGGTACACATTTCACTGTACATACTCATCTAATGGACTGACTCACCGATTGTTTCATAAATATTCAATTTCTTATAGTAGTTTTTCTTTTTAATAAGAAATGTTTCTGACTTGTGGCTCCTTTCAATAGTCGCATCCTATAGCACTGTATACATATTGTGGCGGCCGCCCCTGTCTTCGATCTCGACCTCTACGTCAGGATGGTTCCCATTCCCAGATGGGGAATTTGATTCTTTACTATATCTGTCAGGATATTCGTCAGACAACATCTTATTAATTATGTCCAAGTGGTCAAAGGAATTAGGTCTTATCTTTATCCAAAAAGAGACCGGGGAAGCTACAATTACTTATTCATGTTTGTTTCGTTGAAATATACGACTATGACGGAGGTGTACCGGTTAAGAATTAAGACAAGTGATTAGAGACTCATAATTTTAGTTTCCCGACAAAAAGAAAATGGTCAACTTTTATTGATACATGTACTTCAAATATTTACAACATCTTCATATCACCACTGTCACAATGCCTTGTGCTCATAGTTATACTTCAGTAATTTACATAATTGTTGTTCTTATATGTTAATACATGTAATAAACTGAAGGGCAATGATTCATTAGGAATATGGAACTTGGAAAATTTCCTATCTTAGTTTAATTCCATTTCTATAGCATCATAGGGGGAGAGGTGGACTTCATGCGTCTTAATAGTGGTACATCTTAATTCCAGCTAGCGTCTTAAAGTCCACTTCGTTCCGTACCTTCATATTCAAGTTCCAATTACAATTCCTTATGGCTATTGGGGGATTTCCAGGGAGAGCTTAATTACATGTTGTCTTGACGAACGCCCAATTACCAGTCTTATGGGGGGATTTCCAGGGAGAGCTTAATTACATGTTGTCTTGACGAACGCCCAATTACCAGTCTTATGGGGGGATTTCCAGGGAGAGCTTAATTACATGTTGTCTTGACGAACGCCCAATTACCAGTCTTATGGGGGGATTTCCAGGGAGAGCTTAATTACATGTTGTCTTGACGAACGCCCAATTACCAGTCTTATGGGGGGATTTCCAGGGAGAGCTTAATTACATGTTGTCTTGACGAACGCCCAATTACCAGTCTTATGGGGGGATTTCCAGGGAGAGCTTAATTACATGTTGTCTTGACGAACGCCCAATTACCAGTCTTATGGGGGGATTTCCAGGGAGAGCTTAATTACATGTTGTCTTGACGAACGCCCAATTACCAGTCTTATGGGGGGATTTCCAGGGAGAGCTTAATTACATGTTGTCTTGACGAACGCCCAATTACCAGTCTTATGGGGGGATTTCCAGGGAGAGCTTAATTACATGTTGTCTTGACGAACGCCCAATTACCAGTCTTATGGGGGGATTTCCAGGGAGAGCTTAATTACATGTTGTCCCGACGAATTAGGCCCTTAATCTCTCGTTTCAGAAATGTTGCAGGTTATAAAGACATAATGCAGACGTGGGGAAAACAATGCGCTGTGCTATCTTGGAAAGCACACGCGCAGCGTATAATGGACTTAAGCATAAGACTGTGCTAGTCCGTAATAGATTTATTTGTTATTTCTCATTAATAAACTTTAAACCTAAAGTAAACCATACAATTCCAATAGAGTATGTCTTTTGCAATGGACAGAGCATCATCAGAAATCAACATAAGCATTTCTGAGTTATGAATTCATCTAAAATGCGTCAGAAACAGCTAGCGCTGGGTCCGTGTGCTTCGACACCACATCGAAACAGCACTAAGCATCAATCATGGCGCGCTGCACAGAGGGAACGTTGCTCTATGCGTGCAGTACATACATGTAGCAGATCGATTGGGTATGATGCCAACATCAGGTAGCTCAGACAATCGGTGTTGGGGATGCCCTTGAGGACAGCATCAGATAGCTCAAACAAGGGGCGCTGGCGATGCTCTTTGATCTGGTCGCTCGTTGACGTTGAAGTAGAAGGCTCAGTGTCAGTGTCATGTTTTTTTGCAAGGACTTTGAACCTATTCTTGCAGGATTAACTCTTGAGATAGTTCCCACTATCTTATGAAGATTTATTTTCTCCTTTACCAGTTCATCATTATAAAATAGTAAGTAGAATATTAAAACTTGGATTTTGTTTGCTTTGTCTGATGCACTCCTCCATAGGAAAAAAACGGAAAGTAACCTCCATGACTCTGATGACAGGTCATGAATCTTCTGCTCCATTTCCTTCAGTGCGACGGTCAGGTTAAAGCAAGAGTCCTTCGCTTCGAACACACAGATGGAATATGTGTTCGGGAGGCTATTTGGACCCTCAACGTTTGCCACTTGCACCATTAGCTTAAAGGAGGTGCCCCCTTTATCTCCTAGCTTGACCCAGATCTGGTCATCAGGGATTCAGCCATCATGCCAAGTGAGCATGGTTTTTTTTCTTTTTTAGTAAGACTTTGCGTCCGATCAGTTTCTTTTCAGATGGGGTTAGGCTACATGATGGTGTCTGCTTTTTGCTGTAGTGGTGGTCAGCTTGAGCAGTGTCGTCAACATCTCTGATTTCTCGATACTCCACTCCCCCCCCCCCCCCCCCTCTCCATGCATGAAATTCCATACATGCCAACTGTTCAGATTAAAGAGGAACATTCCTCTTTTTGGGAGAAGATAATTATCATTTTAATGCAGGTGTTCCTCTTCCTGTACAAATTTGTCTGTAGTATTGAATAGGAGAGTTAGGATTGTTCCTCTTTTTTTTAAAAATAGCATAATTTGTACAGATTTCTGATTTTTAAATGTTGGCATGTATGAAATTCCATCCTCAGCTCTTTGATCTGCCTCTTGCCAAGGCGAAGATCAATTTTTCGTCGATTCTTCCGCAGTGTACGGCTTCCTTATTTTGGTTGGCTAATGCAGGCCTGATAACAACCCGATTTTTTTTTTTTTTTTCCCGATTTTTTTTTTCTTCCCGATTTAAAAATTAAAAAAAATTAAAAAAAATTATTATTATTATTATTATTTTTTTTATTTTTTATTTTTTTATTTTTTTTTACCAGATTTTTTGTTCCCTTCCCTATTTTATCCTGATTTTCCCGATTCCCCGCTTATTTTCTCTATTCTTCCCTATTTTGCCCTATTTTTTTCCCAATTTTCTTACTCGAAAGGGGGGAATGTTGTTAGATGCCATTTTTTCCCGCGAATCCTCTTCTTTTTGTTTACTCAAGGGGGGCGTGGTTGAGGGGAAAACAAATTACCTATTTTTTTTTTAGTGCTCACTATCACCCCTGCTAATGCCGAACTTGAGCATTGAGCCTGATATCACAGTTTAAAATAGTGTCTGTCTAGATCATACACCCCAACAAGTTGATGATTTCTTTGATGGTTGATGGATTGAGGGGAGAGTTCTGCATAAAGAGGTTACCGATGGAATTGAGTTTGGCATTGTTAGCAGTATAACTCCCATCAATTTATGAAGTCGTCCAAGTTGGAAGACGTCACTCATGATGGTGGTACCCTTTTCATCTAGGGCACATTCTGGAGCGATGTGGACGTATATCTCTTGTTGGTTATAAAAAGAAACTATTTAAAGTTTACATGTTGTATTTTTCAGTAGGAGGTGAGATAAAGAGGTTATAGCTTTGTACTTTGTTGTAAGAGTGGCTTTAGCATTGTCGTCCTCTGGCCACAGTTCTTTCTATATAATAGTGATGAATATGAAATCAACTTTTTCATGTTGCATTTAATGGATCAATTTGCCTTGCAATTGAATTCACTCCGAAATGAAAGTTTAATCTACTTGAAAGTAGTGGTTTGTTTTTTGTTTTTTGTTTTTTTGTAGTGTGGATTTTCACTACAAAGAAAATGATCCTGATTACGACTTCAGAGTGGGTCTACCATCATCCACGCTACCTGACCCCCCTCCAAAAATCATGAAAATAATCTGTAACAGTTGAAAAGACCGACTTCTGTGCATGGTTTTATCGTCCTATCTTTCACCGACTCGCATGATCTTTTGGTACGCTTGTGGGGTACCCATACTTTGACCTTACATTCTTTCTTTTTCTTCAACAAGGTATAACAACTGTGACAAAATCTGGGAGGATGGATATCAGGTTCGTCCCCTCCCACATCCACACCCCTATTCCTTTTGTCGGAGGCTGGTATCAATGATCAAGGATTTAAGGGGATTGAAGGCAGGTCAATGCAAAAGAAATTCATGCAAATCGTCATAGTATACTAGCTCCATTCTGCTATTGCCTGACCTGCTGTTGTGCAGTCGTGTTTTCTTATACATGGCTGACAGAGATTTTACTTTGTCTTTTATTTGATCGCAACGCACACAGCGCACTTTTTTCTTAAAACTGTCAGCAATGTGGCCAAATAGGTTTGACA